TGGCGGCCGCCCAGGCGGCGGGGCTGGCGGCGGCTCACAGCGTGCGCCTGGCGCGAGGGGACCTCTGTGCGCTGGCGGAGCGTCTGGACATTGTGGCTGGCTGTCGCTTGCTTCCGGACATCCGCGGCGTGCCGGGCACTGAGCCCGAGCAAGACCCGGGCCCGCGGGCCTAGCCGAGACCGTCCTTCCTCGTCAGACTCGCCGGGGCCCGGCTGTCTGCGTCTGCTGTCGCCCGATACCTCCCAACTTCGATGTCACCGGGGACCAGCTGGGCCCACCCGGGTGATGCGCTGGTTTCTCCCGTTGCCTGACCATGCCCGTAGGATTGGCCTTGGGTTCTGAGCCGCTTCCCGGCTTGGACCCAGCCTGTGGTAAATACCTGGCCCTGCTGCTGTTTCCACCCTGGGTTCCCCCTGCCTCACCTTTCTGTGCCCCCTGCCTTTCTGAATTTGTTCCTGCCCAGAGGCGCGTGGACCCTGGCATCCTCCTTCGTGGCCTTGCCCACGCCCCCAGCCCTTGGCACATCTTCGGGAAGTTTGTGTGTGCCCTTTAACTGGGTCCTTTTTCTGCTCCCCAGCGTGGCTCTTGGTCCCTTTGCTTCCGTTCCTTTCCGTCTCCTGGCTCCTCCTCCTCGGGCTTAGCGCTACTCCTTCCTCCTGATCTTTTCAGAGTCCAGCTGCTGCAAGGATAGATTTTACTACGTTTCTTTACCACCCTGCTTATGCTGCCTTCCTGGTCCTGAGCTCCGGGACACCCTGTTTCCTTCCTCAGGCCCCAGAAAGATGCTCCCCAGGGACCCAATGTGGTTCCCCTCCTCCAGACTTGGACCAAGGTGGTGTCTCTTCCAGACCCAGGAACTCTAATCAAGGTGGTGCCACTCCTGACCCCAGACTCTTCAGGTACCGGGGCCCAGTTCTGCCCCACCCTGGCGCTTTTGGCAAAGTAGGACATTTCTTTGCAAAGATCAACCAGCGGCTCGCGCAGGATCTAAAGGTGAACTTCCGACCCAGCTCCAGGTCTGGGTCGCAGCCTCTTTCTGCACCTTCTCACCCGCATCTTTTGGTTCCAGTCGTGGTCTCTCAGCCTCAGTCATATTTACCTCAGCAGCGGAAGCTCAGATCTGAGCCCCCAAGATGGAGGGAAAGGAGGAGGGTTCTTTAGAGTGGACTCATTAAAATTCAAAACATTCTCCCTTGTCACATTCTCTTGTCTCTTCACCTGAGCAACGGTGGGTTTGTCACTGGTTAGGGCTGAGGAAGTTTCCAGAAGGGGATGGGGGCCTCACCCCACTTCCAGGATAGATTGTGACTTATGGCACAGGATTATGGGAGCCAGGGAGAGGTACAGAAAACTTTATTAGGCAGAATTTAGCAAGCAACATTCAGAACAAAGTGCAGGCCCTTGAGAGAGGAGGGTTATGGGCTGGGCTGGGGTTTTTATGTGGTCTTGGGGTGTCCTTAGGGTGGGTGGTGTAGGATGTGTATTCCTGCTGTCTGTCAGGCCCCTCATTTGGGGGGCCCTGTTAAGATGCAAAGCCTTTGCATGTTTTTGAAGTTGATGGGCTGGGGATATAGCTCAGTGGCACAAGCACCTGCCTGGCAGGCGCAAGGTCCTGAGTTTGATTTCTGGTACCAAAAAAATACATTTGAAGTTTGCGTTGTTTCCTTGAGGATGAAGGTCTGGGAGAGAAAGCTATTTACTGGCTTATTGTGTCTTTAAGACCCTTAGGATTTTTGGTGAGCCTGGTGGGTCATCCCAGCACTTGGGAGGCTGAGGCAGGAGGATCACTGTGAGTTCAAGGCCAGCCTGAACTACATACTGAGACCCAGCACCCCCCAATCATGACCCTTAGGATTTTTTTTTTTCTTTTTGTAGTTTGCTCTAAGGGAAAAGGGCATTGTAACTTTGGCTAACTTTTGTGCCCCAAAGTTGTAGTTTTTCTTAAAAGTACAATGGAAGGAGTGGTTGAGACAGGTCTCGCTGTGTAGGCCAGGCTTGCCTTGGGCTTGGGAATCTTTCTGCCTCAGTCTCTAGAATATTGGGAATATAAGAATGTGCCACCATACTTAACTATTTTTTTTTCTTTTTTTTGTCATTTTGCAACAGGGTCTCCTTGTATAGTACAACCTGGCCTTGAACTCACTTTGTAGACCAGGCTTGCCTTGAACTTGCTATGATCCTCCTGCTTCAGCCTCCCCAGTGCTGGGATTACAGAAGTGTGCCATCACACCCAGCTTCTAAAAGTACAATTTTAAAATTACAGTTTTTCTCTTCTTTGGACCTTTCTTTTCTAGTCTACCACAGGTTGGTAATTTGTCTAAGAGGGAGGGTCCTAAGACTCCCATGCTTGGCTTATTGAAGATGAAATTATAGGGAATAAATTACAGTCCCTCATTTTTGCCATGCCTTTGCATTTATTTGTATTCAGATAGTTCAAAATACAGTTTTGGGTGTCCCTCCTGTGCTGTGTGCTGGGGGTACAGTTGCCGGTACATGCCCTCACAGTCCAGTAGGGGAGGCAGGCATTAATAAAACAGAAGTGAAACCAGGCACGGTGGCATACACCTGTAATCCCAGCACTCAGGAGGCTGAGGCAGGAGGATCGTTGCAAGTTCAAGGCAAGCCTGGGCTACAAAGTGAGCTCAAGGACAGCCTGAAATGCGTAGCGAGACCCTGTCTCAAAAAGACAAAAAAAAAAAGCAGAAGTGGTCCTAGCAATCATAACTTATCATGTGGGTATTTTTCAGGCACTATTATTAGAAGTTCTATAGGACTTCGGTGTGAGAGGTTCTGTGTGATGTGTGGGGACTGGGTGGTCATGTGGCTTCCTTAGGAAGTGACAAGTAAGATCTGAACTGAGCCCAGGCAGTGTCAATAGGTGAAATGGGAGTAGGCTGTAGAGGAGTTGCAGGCAGGAGATGGCATATGGAAAAAAACCTTAGCCAGAGGGGATGTGACGTACTTTGTTAGCTTTCCATCCCTGGGACAAAATGCCTGAGGTCATACAGAGGAAAAGGCTTATTTGGTTTACAGTTTCAGAGGCGTCAGTCCACTGTCCCTGATCCTGATGCCATTGGACCTGTAGTGGCACAGGGCATCATGGCAGAGGCTCATGGTGAAGGAACCTGCCCATCTCATGGCAGCCAGGAAACAAGAATAGAGGGAAGAGGAGGAGTCAAGGCCCCAGTGTCCCCTGCAAGGGCACAGCCTCATGTGACCCAGCTTCCTTCCACCAGGACCCACCTCCTTATGGTTCTGCTGCCTCCCTGGCTGGTGACATCATTGAGTCCAGGGGTCTGCTTGAGCCCCCTCCCTGCTGTCTTCATCCAGTGGAGACTGGCAGCTTGATGATTGCTTGCCTGTTTGCCTGTGTGAGCGGGAATGTGCCTCAGCTTGGATAGTCGCCACAGTTGGCAGTTTCTTTTTTCTTTTTTCTTTTTTTTTCCAGTACCGGGAATCGAACTCATGACCTTGCGCTTGCCAGGCAGGTGCTGTGCTGCTGAGCTAGATCCCCAGCCCCTACAGTCTGCAGTTTCTGGTAGAGGGGACTCTGGAGCAGGGGGACACCTCAGAGCCACAGGCTGTAAAGCTGGGCAGAAAGGACTGTGCCTGCTGGATTCCAGGACTGCAGGTCCTGGATGGAAACCAGTCATTTGGAAATACAGAGGAATTTTTTTGGACCCATGTTTTCAATCCTTGATTAATTGGTGTTTGGAGGTTTTTCCCCTTTTTTCTTTTTTTTTTCCCCCAGTACTGGCAATCAAATTCATGACCTTGCGCTTGCCAGGCAGGTGCTGTGCTGCTGAGCTAGATCCCCACCCCTCTCTTTTTTCTTTTAATCTCTTAATTTTTCCTTATAATTATTTTCCTTTAGTTTGCTCTCTGATTTGTCTTTTTCTCCTCCTTTTTGTTTGTTCTTTTCTGTTATTTTTATCTAATACTGTTTCCTTTTACTCCTTAATAGGAGCCTTTATTTCACTTTTTTTTTTTTTTTACCTCCTTTTCATCTTCCATTACTTAAGTTTAAAAATGTTACTTTTCCCCATACCCTCTATTTTTGTTTTGCTCATTTTTCTTTGGGACAGGGACTCACTGTGTAGCCCAGGCGGGCCTTGAGCTCTCAGTGACTCTTCTGCATCAGCCTCCTAAGTACTGGGATTATAGGCATGTGCCAACATGCCCTCTATCATTACTAGTATAACCATTAAGCTCTATGAAACTTTAGGTAATCATATGCTATTACTGTTGAATACTGTTCTATTGTTAGTGGAGGTAAAGTTCCATTTAGTAGATATTCAATATAGGTCAACATTTGATTTGTCTTAAGGTTTATACTGTAATCACAGATCTCTTTTCTATGGTTAAGAGTGGTACATTATTAGTTTTGAGGATATGTCAATATCTAGTTTGTCTTTGATGCTGTTGTTGTTGCTAATTTACTACTATAGCTAAGGTGACATAGGTGTTGCTGCCAGCTGCTTTTCTCTATGTGCCAGCATCTGGGTTGCCATGATGTTATTAACAATATTGCAGCTCATTCCTGGAAACTGGGTACTGAGCCAAATACACTGTAGCCCCTCCAATAAACACAGGTTGAGGGATTCTGGAACAGAGGCAAAAGCCTGTAGTTAGCCATGCCCAGAGTGAAAAGTAGACACTAACTAAAGAGGTTTTGGTACTGGCAACAAAGTCTTCCACTATGATCAACCCTTAATCCTCAGCACAGAAAACAACAGAAAATATAAACATGAGAAGACAGAGTGACAGAACATCTCCAGAAACTCCCAACTCCCCCAAAATTGATCCATGGGACATCAAGGGGGAGGAAACCAAATTATTTGAAGGGTAAAAGAGATAAAAAAAAAAAAGAAGAGATAAAAAGCAGATAAATAAGGAACTTGTCCAGTAGGTGTAACTAAATGGATAACAATCCTAATATTTATTTATTTATTTATTTATTTATTTATTGTCTCTTTGAGACAGGGTCTCGCTGTGCAGTTCAAGCCAGCCATGAGCTCACTTTGTAGCCCAGGCTGGTCTCAAACTCACAAGGATCCTCCTGCCTCAGCCTCCCGAGTGCTGGGATTAAAGGTGTGTGCCACCATGCCCGGCTCAACTGTTTTATTTATTTATTTATTTTTTGTCTAGTGATCCTAATAAAATGATCAGGGAGTCTACTGCAGACACTAATAAAAAACCAGCTGAGCTCAACACAAGGAAGCAAAACATGAATGTCCAGCACAGAAAAAAATTAAGAGTTCAAGGTTAAAAATTCTATTGAAAGTATGAGTCAAACCTATGTCACATGCTCCTCAGCTGGCTGTTTGTTATCATTGAAGACTAAAAAGTTCACCATCACTGGCCCTATACCAATGAGCTACATCTCCAGCCCAGAAAAAAAGACTTTTATTTTCCTGATGTCATTTGGTTGCTTTGAGGATCCTACTGGATTTTGAGTTTTATGTAAGTTTATCAGTTCCCAATGTGTTAGATCAAATAAATTACCTGCCAGTCCAGTAAGGTCCTGAGACCATTAAGGTAAGCTTTCCCCAGACACGTTAGTTTTGATATACAATTTTTTTTTTTTTTTGTACCAGAAATTAAACTCAGTACCTTGTGCTTGCCAGGCAGGTGCTTGTGCTGCTGAGCTATATCCCTGGCCTGCATCTACAATTTTTTAAAGAACAAAAATACTACTCACAGTGATGGAGACCACTATGAAGTGGCCCCAAGCAGGGCTTAAGTTTTCCAATTGGCTTTTTATATTTACTTGTGAATCTGTCCAAAGCCTAGGCTACTTGTCTGGAAGTGGGCAATGGACTCATATCATAGTAAGTGAGCCTCTGTGAGTCATTAGTCCCTGCTAAAGCCTGTAATGGCAGATGAAGCCCGAAAGCCTCAAAGGATAAGACAAGATCACAGCCAAGGACACCTGGACCCCATCTCAACTACATTAAGACTGTAGCCTCAGGCATCTCACTCTTGGGTGGATTAACTTAATCCTTATTAAGGATTAATGCCTTAGTTGAACAAGTCCTTGAGTGATTCCCCCCTTCTTGAGTACTCCCTCCCTTTTTCTGAAAACCAGATAAATACAGGTCACCCAGAGAAGGTCTTGGTCTTAGACCTAAGAGAATCTCACATTCTGTGAGAGGGCTTTGATCCTCCTGGAGTCCTGAAATCATTCTA